AGCCTGTCCACTGTTATGACTATCTGATAGATAGATAGATAGATAGATAGATAGATAGATAGATAGATAGATGAGAAAAAACGAAGATAGATAAGAAAAGGCGAAGATAGATAGATAGATAGATAGATAGATAGATAGATAGATAGATAGATGAGAAAAACAACGAAAATAGATAAGAAAAGGCGAAGATAGATAGATAGATAGATAGATAGATAGATAGATAGATAGATAGATAGATAGATAAGAAAAAACGAAGCTAGATAAGACAAGGCGAAGATAGATAGATAGATAGATAGATAGATAGATAGATAGATAGATGAGAAAAAACGAAGATAGATAAGAAAAGGCGAAGATAGATAGATAGATAGATAGATAGATAGATAGATAGATAGATAGATAGATAGATAGATAGATGAGAAAAACAACGAAAATAGATAAGAAAAGGTGAAGATAGATAGATAGATAGATAGATAGATAGATAGATGAGAAAAACAACGAAGATAGATAAGAAAAAGCGAAGATAGATAGATAGATAGATAGATAGATAGATAGATAGATAGATAGATAATAGATAGATAGATCCATCCATGGAAAGTGATCGGATTAACTACATTCCTTGGTTCCGCCAGATTTAACCTTCACGTCTAGGACCCGCAATGTCATTTACATTGTAACAAACCAACCATATTCTCTTCGTATTCCATCGGCAGCTTCTTATCGAACAGCTTCTTCCCGCGAAGCACGGCTCTGTTGAACTGACATCCAAGAGGATGTTTCCCCAATTATAATAATCTTAATCTGTTCATGTCTAGGGTTAAACATTATTTTCCCCTCCTATCCATATAACCTTAACCTCTCTACCTCGAGTGGCCCCCAGGCCTTGTACAAAGTGAACCTCACTGTAAATAAGATAGCATTTTGTAAAAGAACATGTATGCACTGGCTACGACGTGGTTAGAAAGTTCGTGTTGCGACAAGTTTGCAAGTAAATAGGTTTTGCTTTCCGTGAATACCAATATTTACAATCCAAGAATTTCTGCCTGAATACCAATTACAGTCACCGGAACCAGCTGTGTAACTCCAAAAGATGCGTATACTTATACAACTTAGTGTGGATTTTACAAGTACAGGTAGGTATTGACTGCTGGTGAGAGTTATAATCTAACTTGGACAGATCTAACAAACGAGAGAGGCCACTCTATATGAAAATCATTTTGTGCAATATAGGAGACACGGACCACAGGCTCTATAGGTAAAGATATATATATATATATATATGTTAGTCATGAAGTACGTCCATAGATAGATAGATAGATAGATAGATACGAAAAGATTGAGATAGATAGATAGATAGATAGATAGATAGATAGATAGATAGATAGATAGATAGATAGATAGATAGATAGATAGATATGGACAATAGGTAAATAGAGAAATTGTAGTTTGTGTCTATATGGAGATCAAATAAAAATAAAGATAAAAGAAAACCTAATTGAGCAATTGTATATCAAAGGATAAAACTAATGGAGAGAAGTTTGAAATGGATTTTGGCACATGGTTGATATTAAGAAGCGTGAGACTTTTGGAAAGTCTCGATAATTAATGGTAAGCACAAGGTGGGGACATTTGAGCATCGAGTACGTTTTTGTTTGAAGGTGCTAAAGCAGATATAGCAACTGCATCAATACCTTCAACCGAGCACGGGGGTGATAATAGCTTCCTCTTTGTTAGAAAAAGGCTCAGAATACACAGAAGATCCCATTACGAATGTTCATAATGGAATAGATGTCTGCATGAACTTAACAACCTCGTACAAATGCAAAGACAAAAGTAGTGGGCAAAACAAATATACAACACCCGAAAGCATTCTCACTATTAAGCTCTACCTTATGTCTACCCGCTAGAATTGATATTGAACACCCCCAAGTTGTTTTTCCTTCTGTCTAAAGAGATTTCGAATACCAAATTCTGAGGATAAGATTCTGGTCTTTAAAGACATAACATTATAAATATACTTTAACGCTTCAATTCATTTTTATGATGATAAAATCTATCTTTGGGATTGATTGGTTTTAGGATTTATCAACCTTTTTCTGGTTATTTAAAGCCAGAAAATATTTTGGGTTTGTAAGAATTTTTTGGAAATAATAATGATTTACTGGTACAAGTCCTACTAATTAACCCATAGACAGGGGGAAATTCATAAGTTTCCCAAGGTTATTTGCGTGTAAGGTATTATAACGAACCCGACTGGAATTAGAACTTAACGAATAGTTATATGCAAGATCATTATAACATGATGCCTAGCCACAAGTAAATATTCCGAGACAAAAATCCCTACCATCGAATAACTCATTAAAAATATATTTTTATTATTAATACTTTCATCTTAACTTTTTTTGATTAATTGAGTGATTTGTTTTTTTACGGTTTATCAACCTTTTGCAGGTTATTTAAAGCCAGACATATTTTCAAATTGTAATATTGTTCTGGAAATAATAATGATTTACCCATAAATTCGTAATGGGTTCTACTAATTAACCCATAGACGGGGAGGAGTGGATTCATACCTTTCCCCAGCGTATTTGCGTGTAAGTGAACCAGACTGAAATTAGAAGTCTACTCTCAATTCCGTGTCGTTATTCATTACACCAACTGCACACCCAAGCTTACAGCACCTGGTATTCTCAAGCGGTCACCCATCTAGGTACTGATCAGACTCTACGTTGCTTAACTGGTGATCGTGCGAGAACCGATGTTTCAACGTGATATGGGCGTAAGCCCTTTATATCACCAACCCATACATCCAAGCTTACAACCGTCTAGGTACCAGTATTTCAACGTGATACGGCCATAAGCTCTGCCTTTCTATTTCATTTATGCGCATATTTAAAGGTTAAATTTCGCTTGCTTTTAATGCTAGCCAAGTTCAAGCCAAGGCAAATGATAGGATTCCTAATGCTGATTTTCAAAGCTGGTCCCCACTTCGGGAAAGTTTCATTCTTTCTCATTATTTGCAATTATCTAAATATTACAGTTTAGGAATAAACGTTTCTCGTTTCATATTTCTCATCTTTTACACATTTCATTCTCATCAGACACTAACCTCCCATATTCTTCATTTCAATTTTCTTATCTGTCTATATGTCTGAGATGACGTATTGTAATCATTTACACTGTTTACATTCTTCGGACAATTGTCCTCATCTTTTTTCCATATTCACGACGTTTCGGCCTTCTTTAAGTGATTGGAATTTCGACCTGAACCCTTCTAATTCTTCATTTGGTTTACGGCTATATCACGTTGAAACATCAGTTCTCGTGTGATCACCGAAGTTACGTAACGTTGAACTTGTCTAGTGCCTAGATGGGCGATCGTTCGGGAATAGCAAATACTGTAAGCGTGGATGTGTGTGTGGTGTAATGGATAAAGGCTCAGAATGACAAATAGGAGGGCCATGTTCGAATTCCAGTCGGCTTCGTTATAGTCACTAACACGCAAATACACTTGAAAATCCTTATTAGCCCGCAAAAAACTTACAATCCCCAAAAAGGTTGATAAACCGTAAAAAAATCAATCAAAATAATTCTTTCTCCACATATTCTTACTTCTTTATTTTTCTCTTGTTGGACGGTTTTTTATCCACAAATTCTTTCTTCTTCATTTTCTTCCTCTACTTCTTCTTCTTCTTCTTCTTCTTATTATTATTATTATTATTATTATTACTATTATTTTTCTCCTTCTTTTTCTTTTTCTCGTCGAATTAACCCTTCTTCTTCTTCTTCTTCTTCTTCTTCTTCTTCTTCTTCTTCTTCTTCTAGTTCAATACCCACTTCTTCTTCTCGTCTAATTAACCCTTTTTCTTCTCCTACTTCTTCTACTACTACTACCATTAGTAGTAGTAGCAGTAATAGTATATCGTCTAATTCACCCTTCTTTTTATTTTTCCTCTTTTTCGATTATTCTTTCTGCTTAATTATTCCTTCTTTTTCTCCCTCCTCTTTTTGTACTCATTCTTCTCCAATTCATCATTCTTTTTCTTTTTTTTCTAATCACTGTTTAAATATCCAGTATGTCCTTTTATTTTTACATCGTAATCCGTTATTTACCACACAACCCCCATCTATCTATCTATCTATCTATCTATATATATATATATATATATATATATATATATCACTTACAAATTGAAATAAAAATTTTTGTTTCACTCTTACACTCAATCAATCATTCATATTTTGCTATCTATTCTGCGTATATTTATCTATCTCTGCCTGTCATATCTACTTCTCAAACAAAAGCATAGACTTTCTAGTACGCCATAACACCGTTCTCTTTTCTGCCCGACCATCTTTTGGTCTGGCAATGTCAAGTAACACGGGTGGAGTTCAGTGGCAAATCACAAGAAGGAAAATCTTCGCATATCTCTGATCACACATTAGAGGCACGTATTTGTTTGTGCACAACAGAGCACGCTTGGACATTGGGTTGGAAGAGGGGGTAAAGGGGATTTAAAATAATATAAGATAAATATTAGTCTATATTTTACTGTACGCTAACGATGCTCTTTTATCTTTTCACTACGTTCCTTATCATATCTACATTATTCGGCACGTATACACACTTAGATTAGATAGATAGATAGATAGATAGATAGATAGATAGATAGATAGATAGATAGATATTAAAACACTGACATGGGTATATATTTATACAGGGCGCGATGGATAAATTGTCGTCTAACTTACGCAAAAAAATGAAAATAACGTTGACATCTCATTTTAAAAGATATATTTACCAAAATTGCACAAAATATCTTGAAATACTAAAGAGTAAATTTATTCAATAAAATCTGGTCTCAACCACGGTCTCCTTGTTTAAATCTCCTGCAAACTGGTCTCTTTGAAAAGTTGGTGAATGCTGCCATAATCCTTGCTTTCAGTTCATCTTTGGAATTACAAGGAGTTTTGTTGGTCTCTCGCTCAACTGCGCCCAACACATAATAATCAAGGGGGTTGCAGTCTGGGGAGTTAGGTGGCCAAATGTAAGGGGTGATGTGGTCGCAGAAATTGTCTGACAGCCATGACTGGGTTCTCCTGCTTGTGTGGCATGGTGCAGAATCCTGTTGCCAGACATAGGGTCTTCCAGCAGCCACCCTCTTGACCCAGGGCAGCACTACCTCCTCAAGGCACTTGATGTAGGCCTCAGTGATGAGTCTGAGGCCCTGTGGGAAAAATGAATGGAGTTCTTTAACGTTATCATCACTATGATCACTCCAAACACCTTCGTAATCACCATTAGACTCATCCAACTCTTTCCGAATCCTCTGCACTGTCCTCAAATTCACACCCAAACACTCTGAAATGTTCGTATTGGAGCTTCCGGCGCGAATGCCAAGCAGTACAGCATGCCATTTCCAAATTTCTGGCGGAGTGAATTGCATCATGGTGCTCTTTTTCTCACAGATGGGGCCCAACTGACCCTACTATACTATGCAGTCGACAAATAAAAAACAAACAACACACATGCGCGAAATTAAAAATATAAAATGGCGACAATTTACCCATCGCACCCTGTATATAAATATGATAGATAGATAGATAGATAGATAGATAGATAGATAGATAGATAGATAGATATATAGATTAAATAAATTTTGAACCAGTCATTATTTTGTAATATATGAAGATAAATAGATAGATATTATTAGATATATTTTAATATATTATATAAATAATATTTATATATATTTGTTTTCATTTTTTTTATTGTCATTATGATAGATAAATAAATAAAATAAATAATTTTTGTATTAGATGATATAGATAGATAGAAAGATATATAAATATATATCCCATGCTTGGATTGTAATATTTTCAGATATATAAATAGATAGATAATAGATAGATAGATAGATATTTATTGTTTTTATATGAATATAACATTTTTAAATTTATATATTCTTATTACCTTTTTGAACAAGGTATAAAAAAATATAAATAATATAATGTTTTGAGGAAATTAGAAATAGTATGGCGTGTCCTAGCTTAAAATATCTAAATTGATTATTTTGGACAATGAAAATTTCATGGAAAAAACAACATTTCCCAATACATTTTTAAAAAATAGATTCACAGGGGTAAAAGGATTTTTGGAAAAGAAAAAAATGTTTTGGTTTTAATCCATTTTACATTTGCACACACATAAATACACAAATATTTTTTTTAAAGGCATTTTTAAAATATCTAGGTTTTATAAAAATGGGAACCAAAGCAGGATAATTCATACAAATCATTGACAGTAACACACTTTTTAATTGTTGGCCAATGATCATTCGACTATCAAAAAGAAAATTATGTTTTTTTATTGTTTCTTTAGCAATTGATTTTTTTAAAATGAGTTCCATATTTATTTAACCCCAATAGACGTTTAAAGCATGGAGAGTTCAATAAGATAAATTGGACCATTCTTTTATGGATGGAGAAATCAAAGATACCAATCGTGATTATACCACTATCTAACCAAACTGATCCAGATTTTACTTTTTTTATGCAAGCGATTCTTTGGAATAATCAAAACAAAAACTTTACCTTTTTCTTTTTTTCTTTAGAAATTCTTCTACGGACACGTGTTTTCAAAGTTCAATTTTTTTTTTGATAAATTTTTTTTTTTTTTTAAAAATTTAAACCAATAATATTTAAAAATTTCATGTCTCCAAAAAAATATTCAGTCAGTCAAAAAAATAATTTATTTGATATTAATGATAAAATAAACCTTTAATTTTAATTTTTTTTCCATTCATGACTTTTTAGGCAGAAATTTTTTTTATAAAGTTTAATTTTTTTCTTTCTAAACGATTTTCATTTGGTTTTTTTTGTTCTTATATATTATCAAAACGCTATTAAAAAAAAACTAGTGAGGGGGAGATAAATTCAAACCTTTCACAAGAGCATTTGCGCGTTAGTTAATGTAGTGAACCCGACTGGAATTCGAACTCGGCTGTTCGATTTCTCATCATATATATAATCGGTACGAGAATCGAATGATGTTTTTAAACTGCAACACATTTTTTATTATTTTTTTTAATAAATCATTTTTAATTATAAAAATTAAAAAAGTATTATTAATCAGATAATTTCAAAAATTAATATTGCATAATGTTGGAATCGACTAAAATCCAGGGATTTTTCTGATTAATCTATTCATAACTTAATCTTTATAATTTTTATCATGTTTTTTATGAGGCTTTATAAATTCAGTGGGACAAGAGAGAAAGAGCAAAGCAAATAAACACAATAATCTGATTCGACATGAATTTACACGACTTCCCGATAACAATTTGGTTTAGTTTTAAAAAAAATATCTGTTAATCGGTGGCAACGGCAATTCAACAAACATGTTAGAAATGCAAAATGATTCTTATTTTGAAAAATTTTAAATTGCATGGATTAAATTATATGGAAAATTTCGACAAAATTTAATATGTGATTAAATTCATTTAAAAATCGATATTATGGTGGAAAAAGAAAATCGACGGCCGAATGTGTTATTCTCTTTTTTTTTTTTTGACGCTTAAAAAAAATGAATGAATTTTTTTTTTTTTCAACTATTTTTTTCTTCGGGTTAATTCGATTGGGTAGACATGGATATTTTATTAAAAGAACAACTCTGAATTTTGGTTTGGTTTTCAATCATTTGCAAACTACTAATGATTATTTTGATAAATAATGTCGATTTAATAGATAAATTAGACAGGTTTATTTGTTTTTTTTTTTTTTTTTTATTTTTCATATTTCTTTTTAAAATAAAATAAAATTAAAGCATTAAGACGCAAGTAGGAATTCCTATTAATGTGGGAGAAATGTTGCTTAAATAAAAAAAAAACGTTATTTTTGAAAGAAATTTTTAATGAAGAGAAATTAAGAAATCAAAGATAACCATTGACATACATTTAAATTTTAAAAATCAAAGTTGAAAACTGTAGAAAGCAAGAATTTAAAACAAAATTTCCCAGAAGAAAACGTTTAATAGAAAAATTATTTTTTTTTTTTCTTTTAAATTTCAAATATTTAAATTTAAAATTTGACATTTTTAGTAATCTAGTACTGCGCTTATATTCATAAAGTTTTTTTCTATTCTTTTATTTAGAGTAAAAGCTCATCATTCCACAATTACCATTTAAAATTTTTTATATTTTTAAAGTCAATTAAGAAGCTTTTTTTTTAATATTGGTGGAAAAGTTTTTGGAATATACTTTCAATGACAATTTTAATTATCAATAACATTGTAGATAATTCTTTTTTAAAAAAAAAAAAAATATGTAATAAGTTTTTAACATTTAGAAAAATTGTTTAGCACGATACAGTGAACCAACTTTCCTTTATAATGTAAAACCCAGAAATTTTTTCAATATAATCTTTCCATAATCCTGTTAGCGGAAGTTTTAGTTTTTTCCTGAGTTTTTTCCTTTGGTTAAAATTTTTTTTAAAATTAGAAAATTTAAAAAAATTTTTTAAGTAAATTTGAATTTTAAAATCATTGATCTGTCAATTAAAAGAAAAAGAAAAAAATTTTTTTCCAAAAAAAAATGAAGAAAAAAGAAAGAAAAAAAAAAAAAAAAAATCTAATAATTTAAGTAAAAGATAAAAAATTAACGTTCTTTTTTCAAAAAAAAAAAAGAAGAAAAAAAAAATAATCAATTAAAAAAAGAAAAAAAACAATAAAAAAAGACAAATAGAAAAATTAAAACAGAAATGAAAAAAAAAAAAAAAAACTACAAAAATAGATATATGTTAAAAGACGACGAAATAAAAAAAAGAAAAAAAAAAAAACTTTTAAGATAAATTTTTTTGAAATGTTTTTATTATTCAACAAACGATGAACCAAAGAAATTTAAATTTTCCTTTTAGAAAATTTCTTAAAATTAAAAATTAAGAAAGAAATAATTTAAAAAATTCATTTAGATATGTTTCCTTGAGGCAAATTAAAAACTAAAATAAAGAATATAATAAGAAACCTCCTATCATGTTTGTATTCATTAAAGAATGAATATTAATATATATTCAATTCTTGGGGTAAATTTGATCAACTGCAGAAAAAAAGTTAGAAATAAAATTTTTTTCAAAAATTAATTCAAATATTTAAAACATTATCAAATTTCATTTTTTTTCAAATGTTTCAAAACCTACCCATTTATTTACAAATAATAATAATTATTATTATTATTTTATTTGTTTTTCATTATTATTATTAATTATTGCTATTATTTTATTTCCTTTGATTTCTGTTGTATACATTTCTTTTCGGGTCCCAACCAGAGACCTAAGGTCAGAAATGGCATCATGACATTTTCCACTGAGCAATTTTTTTTGAAAAAAAAAAAAAAAAAAAAATATTTTTTTATATAGATAAAGCCCTTCGTAAGGTGTGGGCTGTACTTGTTATGAATAATTTTTTGTATTTCTTTAAGGCATGGGCTACCAGGAATTCCTTCAATGAGTCTATTGGAATAATTTTTCCATCAATCCGACCATCTTCATTCCAACTACAACTGGAATTAATGATGTCATACGCCACATTTTTGAGATTTCGATTTCAAGGTTCTTGTATTTTGATCTTCAAAGACACAATGCAGTCTGCAGGCACTTTCATGTCAATAATGAGGCAAATTTTATCTTTGCGGTCTCTAATCACAATGTCAGGGCGATTACATTTGATTGTTCTGTCTGTGTGCATTGTAAAGTCCTATAAAATTGTTACAGGTCCTAGCTCCGTAACCGGATCTGCGTGGTGTTCATACCAGTTTCTTACAGTTTCCTTTCCGTAAGTACTGCAGATTTTCCAGTGCAGATATTGACTCACTCTCGCGTGCCGGGTTTTAGATTCAGTGGGTGACAATACCTCACAACCTGATACAAGATGGTTACTTGTTTCTGGATATTTATCACAGAATCTGCATTTTGGTCTAACATAATTTTTCAGTATATCTGCTTGGTAATT